GTTTCTGAAAGTTTTTTGTTTTTAATTTTTTTGCAGAAAAAAGGAACATACAAATAATAACAATTGAAAATATAAACAAAATAATAAATAAAAAAAGGCATACACTATTTGAGGGGACAGACATTTTTAGTGGTGTCCGAAACCATAGTGGACGTTCTCGAGTACACTCATTCAATCCCACAATGCAAAGCAATAACGAGTGTATGACCGATGTACACTCAACGGCTAGAGAATCCCCATAATGCACTGTGAGAGTCGCACGTCTCGCCAGAAGACTGTGCCCGCAGCTGAAGCATCCATCCATTCATTTTACAACTCGCGCTCGTCCACAGCATACAAGCGTAATATAACACAGGTACAAATTCATTGTAAATTGATTATTAAATTATTTAACCAGAGTCTATACATAATTTCCATGACAGAGTTCAAGATAAATCCTTTAATCTTACTACTGGAGCTGCCAGTTTTAAATGATTATTAAACGTCAGCACAAACTATGCAAAAACGGCAGTCCTTCCGGTGCACTCGGTGTCCGAATTCACTCACTCGTTTTCATTCACTCCTTCAAGTGAACTGAATAAGTGACCAAATGTAGGGATTAGTGAATTAGGGTATAGGGGGCGATTTCGGATACAGCCATAGCTCACATTCAATTTCAACGAATAAGGATATTACAAAGTACCAGGGGGATTGAAGAGTGTATCATAGTATTTTAAACATTTCACAGACTTTTTGTTTTTTTAACAGTCTTATTGAAGAAATATAAAAGTCAAAGTCAGAACAAAACAAATTTAACATAGGAGATGAATTAAGACAAGTTTCGGAAAGTCTTTTTCGATCATGGTTCTTCATGACGTCATGAAGTGTGAAATTCCTTATATGGGCATTTGAGCAACGGAGTTTCGCAAGTGTGTTTGTTGACGTTTTATAAACAAGACCCAGTTCAACGCTGGATTTGCACATAATTTTATACTGAAAGATGGAGCAGTCTCTGTTATAAAAGATCCAGGTCATGATTCCGAACTGCAGACGGTAAGTGAAACGGCATCAAATGTCTGTGTTTTGTTGGGAATCGGCGCTCAAGTGCTCGTCACTCTTTAGCTCCGCCCACGGCGCGCCTCCAGGAGCTCGGCTGTTTTCGGAGAGAATCGTAAAGCTGTATCTTTCTTTTATAAATATGATAAAACTAAAGACTTTTTGGAGATATGAAGGATGCAGTACTACTCTATAGGTACTCAAGATTAACATGAGATTGGGTGAAACTGTGTGTGTTATCCCCCCTTTAACTTATTTAGCTCTGTAATGTTAGTTATACTTGAAGGAACAAATGAAAATGTTGTCATTATTTGCTCACCCCTCATGTTATCCTTGAATATGTTATTTTATTTATTCTGCGAAATATGAAATAAGATGGTATCCACTCTTCTACACAGGAAATAATGTGAATTTATATTTATATATATTTTTTATTTTTATATATTAATACTACCTTTCAAATGTTTCTTATGCTCCCCAAGGCTGCATTTATTCAGTAAAAACAGCAATATTGTGAAATATTTGTAATAAAACTTTAAAAAACTGTTTTCTATTACATTTTAAAATGTAGTTTATTCCTGTGATGCAAAGCTGAATCTTCAGCATCATTACTCCAGTCTTCAGTGTCACATGATCCTTCAGAAATCAGTATAATATGCTAAATTGTGCTCAGCAAACATCACAAAACAGTTGTGCTGCTTAATATTTTTGAGCAAACCGTGATGCATTTTTTTTTTTCAGGATTCTTTAATGAATAGAACAGCGTTTATTTGAAATAAATCTTTAGCAACATTATAAATGTCTTATTTACTGTCACTGTTGATCAATTTAATGCATCCTTGTTAAATAAAAGTATAATAAAAAAAATTAATAAATAAAATAGTTTGACGTGATTGTGCCACGTCAATTACGATTTATGAGCTCCATCAGAGCTCAATTCAGTCTGTTCTTCACACAAATAAAGCACACAAGTTTGATGCACCAGTTTTACGATAGGCTACTTTTGTATATTGACAGTGTAAATAACTGATATGCGATTAAATGATGAACTATCCCTTTAACTTTATAAGTGTCCTGACCAGCCTTTCTTTAAACATGGAATATCATCCTTCCTGCCACACGCCTTCACCTCACACGGGGAGACGTGCTAAAAATAAACGTCTGGTGTGAGGGTGGAGTTTGACGAGTGTTTTCAGACTCCTGGGCGGCAGAGAACAGTGCGAGAAATGGACAGGAAGGGACAACTTCCTAATGTCCCGAGTAGGACATAAAGTCTGTTCTTGCGTTAGATATAGAGCAAAATAAACATTGGGAAACCAGGACAGTGAGGTTAGGAAATATCTACCACACCACACATGCCCTCCAATGTCAGAATGATTCTTGTAGAGTGAGTGCAACTTTGACAGTGTGTGTGGGATGTGGAAGTAGGAAAAAAGTCTACCTAGAGGATCTTCTGCTGGAAGCACAGCCCTCCCCTTTCCTCTCGCTCTCTCTCTCTCTCTCTCTCTCACTCACAGTCTTTCTGAGCTGGCTCCGCTCTCTCTCAGTCTTGCGCTGTGGCCGTGTGTGCGTTGAGCTTTTGCAAAGAGAGAGAGAGAGAAGTGCCTAGGGCTTCACCGAGATTTAGTTGAGTCTAGTCTCAACTGTGTTACTATTTAAAACAGTCAGAGAGGAAGAGCGCACAGCATCTAGGAGATAAACAACCACAGGAACACACTTTAAAGTGAGACAGTGAGTGGTGTGGACACTCGTGGTCCTCTCCTGAGGCTGTGACTGCTTCACCAGGAGAAATGTGAACGTTGTGTGACTTATTTAACACACAGACACACCTGCTCCATCCTCAGGTGGCGTTCCAAAGGACTGGATTGCTGAACGAAACCGTGTTTACCAGAGGCCAGTGGACTGCACACAGGCAGGGGTGAAAATGGACTACCTGTGGGGGATTGTACTGCTGCTGTGGACGCTCGGTGTGCCGGAGAGAGGAACGGACGCTCAGAGGATCAAGAACAACGTACCCCGACTCAAACTCTCGTATAAAGGTCAGTCACCTTCTGGTTCTGCTGCTGATGGGGATTCTGGGAAAGGGGGAAATCAGACAATGATTGAGGAAGCTTAGAAAAGCAGATGTTAAAGTTTATTGATGCTTTCTTGTCTGGAGTTGGCATACGGGTCTGGTTGATTTCATTAATATGATTCACATGGTTTAATTATGCATGGTTGGTCATTTTGAAAGATGTTTCTGAAAGCGAAGCTGAGCTTCATATTCATAGTCATGGATACTTATGGATATTTGCATTCATTATTCATAACTAAAATATTAGAGGGGTGCTGTTGAAAGTGAAATTGTGTTTGGCTAGTGATGAGAGGTGAAATTATAGATCAAAAATTAGATTTTGTGCCAGTAGTGCAAGCACTGAAAAAAGTTGGTGTAGGATTTAACAGTTTTCACTGAGAAATTGCAAGTAAATTACACAAATAATTACAAAACGAACACACTGAATTGAATGTGAAATTTTGAAGTAGAAAGCAGAAATATATTTTCTTGTAAAACATATTCCAGTAATCTTTTTTTCTGTTAAGAGACAATCTTAGATTTTATCAACAATGCCTTTTTCTCTCTTTTTTCTTCTTCTTAATTTTTAACATTTAACCTTAAAAATTGGATCTGCACAATTATTTAAGGTACTATTTCTACCTTATCTGACCCGAAATATTACTTTTGTTTGGATAACCTGTTATGGTTGATTCAGTAATATTAAAAATTACATTTGACTGAAAAAAAAAAACTGTTATTTTAGCTGTTACCACTTAAAGGACTGAAGCATTTTGTACAGTTTAGAGGTTTACAGTATTATGTTTGAAGGACGCATTTAGGTTTAATTCTACAAGATACAATATTATGTATCACACAATATTGGGTAATTAGTTCAGTTTCCTGCACAGATTAAATCAGGCATGTGTTGTTAAGTTTGTGCGTTCACAGAGCCTGTGGGCTGAATGCGTTTGTCTGGATGCACAGGTGGGAATGTTTAAACCACTGGCATTCATTGTTTCCCTGAAACACCTACACGTACAGCTCAAATGCCAAAAATTCAGACTAAACTCTGTTTTTAATTTACAACATGTACATTTTGAGTCTAACTTAATAATATCAGTCAATCATAAATGATCTATCACGGTGGTTTTGCTTCAGTATGCAACACAGTACGATAATTGTTTTAAATTCATAAACAGTTTTCACCTTGCATAGATTTATTCATGTCTTTTTTTTCTTTTTTATATGAGAACATGTCATTTAGACTGTCTATGTTGGCATCTGCTAATTTGATTAGCGTCTGCAAAGTTGCACCATAAATAGGAAATGTGGAAAAGACTATTTATTTTTGCTGTAATAACTATGCATGATGTTAGATTTTATTATTGCTATACAAGCATTGTTTGCCCCTATCAGAACAGACTTGCCCATTTTTGGGTCACGACCCACTGCTTGAGAACCACTGATCTATTATATTCTTCTCTGCATGTACTTTCCTCCACTTTTGTTGCTCAGCTAGAGTAAATTGTTTATAAGATTCCCAGTGATTTGAGGGAGTGTGTTATGATAATTGCAGACAGTATAACGCAAGGTGGCTGTTTTTAACGGTGCGGTTTTGTTAAAACATTACAACTCTTCACATCCGACTGGCGTTCGTGATGAAGTGAACTGTCAGGAGTGAATTCACAGTACGAGTGTTTAAATGCAAGAGCTCGTTCCTCCCTCCCTCTGTAATTAGAAAGAGACACAGAGAGAGGTTTAACAGTCAGGGCAGATGGCTGTATAAAAGTGAGCCATTTCTCTCTCTGCCAGCTTTCTAATTGCACTGACAGCTCCTCATTAGCTGGCTGGCGGAAGCTG